ACGTCACAATATGCTAAGGGAACAAAGCCCAAGCAAAAACAATCGAATTATCACAAAATTCCAAAAATTGGTCAAACCCGACCCTCGGGCCCACATCTCAGAATTTGACAAAATTCACAAACAAGAATCCTTATACTCTCACGAGTCTATCCATACGAAAATTATCCAATTCCGATACCATTTGGTCCTTCAAATCATCATTTTATATTTTTGAAAGATTTCACAATTTTCTTCCCAAATTCCATCCCAAATCACAAATTAAATGATGAATTCAATGATAGATTCATGTACTCTAGCCAAATCTGAGTTAGANTTGTGGTCCGCACAAAACCAGTGCAGTCCGCACAAAAACGACCGCGGCCGCACAAGCTTTCATTTGCAGTGACCGGCTTTAGTATTTTGCTCATAACTTTCACTACAGATGTCCAAATTGCAATATCTTTACCTTTCTGGAAACTAGACACGAAAGGATACAACTTTCATTTTTGAATCATTTCAAAATTACTTGTATATCAAAAGATATGAGCTTCCGAAGTAGGACCAGCAGAATGTTCTTCACCGCGGCCGCACACCATTTTGTGCGGTCCGCACAACACTTACCGCAGCCACACTTCATTTTGTGCGGTCTGCACAGCAAATACCGTGGTCGCACTTCTTTTTGTGTGGACCGCGCAGGTGAGTTTCGAGGCCTGCAACCCTTCTGGACCTGCTACCGCTATAATTTTTGGCCTAAAACATCCTGGAACCTACCCGGACCTTCAAACCAATTGTACCAACACATCTCATGACATCGTTCAAACTTGTTCAAAACTTCGGAACGCTCACAACAACATCAATCACCAATTTAACATAGGATTCAAGCCTAAGAACTCCAAGAACTCTTAAATTATGCTTTCGATCAAAAAGTCTATCAAATCTCGTCTGAATGACCTAAAATTTTGCACACACATCCCAAATGACACAACGAAGCTACTGTCACTCTCGGAATTCCATTCTGACCCCTATATCAAAATCTCGTCTATCAACCGGAACCGCCAAAATATCAACTTCGCCAAGTTAAGCCTAAATCTTCTCTACAACTCCAAAACCCATTCCGATCGCGCTCCTAAGTCACAAATCACCTCCCGAAGCTAACCGAACCATCGAAACTCACTTCTGAGCCTTCTAACACATAAGTCAACATCCGATTGACTTTTCCAACTTAAGCCTTCTTAAAAGAGATTAAGTGACTCATTTCTTACCAAATCCTCTCCGAACTCGAATTAATCAACCCGATCACATAAAACACGGATAACGAAGCGTAAAGAAGCTAAAATAGGGGAAAACGGAGCGGTAACTCATGAGACGACTGGCCGGGTCGTCACAGCGGACAGTAATTCAGCCTTTGAAGAAGTGTCACCTTTCAAGTCTTACGCCTTTACTCCACCCCCAAAGCCAAATACATGGCTACGAGTTTGAGGTCCACAACACTTTTCTACTATCTCTATGGTAGGTAAAGATGCACCTGATTGAACTATTTCTTCAATCTGAACCTACAAAACATATGAAGAAATATTTTATATTAGAACCGATAATAATTTCAAGTAATTTACATATTCAGTTGACTAAACATACATGTTTTTCAATTGCTTCAGGTTCAACAAGCTTGTTATTTTTCTTACGAGTCTCAAAGAAAATTGTTGCCAAATCTGGTGGATTGTCATCTTTCCCGCCTTTTACATCAAAGGTAAACATGTCAGAAAATACCTCGTTTAGAAATTGAAAATGTGCTGAATATTTAATAGAAAGATTGTCATTTGAGAGCTTTCAGTTCAAAAAGTAATTGTCTGATCAACAAATATTGAACTACACATTGCTAGAGATTGAAAACATTCCTTAATCCAAAAACCAGACAATCCTCAGGAGAGTTTGATTTGACTGCCACTCTTTTGCGAGATCTTTCATTGTTGTCAAGTCAATCAAATAGGCTTTTGCATGAAGAGCTTAATTATAATGGCCACGACCTAGCTGAAGAACAGACGACTACATGCATCTTTAAATATTGAAGGTCAGACATCAGCTCACAAAGTTACTACTAGTCCTATTGAATATTCGAGCAACAAGAAGGAAGGGGGAGGTTATTTTTCATGAATGGACTTGGTAGAACTGGGAAAACAATATTTTTGTGGAAAGAAATCATAACCAAGATCTGATCTTGTTCTTGCAATAGCTACTTCGGGAATAGCAGCTTTGTTATTTCACAATTTATTAAGCACATATAGTATTACAATATAGATACATAACCGCGCAAAGTGCAGGTGGACGACTAGTCTTACCATAATAGAAAGGTCACCCTCAACATTCAACAACAGATGCAAAAATAAAAAGAATTGCCCTTCTAAACAAGAAGCATGATGGGTCACAGATCAAAGGAAAATGAGACAGACCTCAGTAAGCACCTCGTAAATATTTCCTTTAGAAAATTAGAGATTTTATGATAATACCTTTTGATAAATTATCTCTCGAACAGGCTTGCTACCAATATGATGAAGCATCTTCAATTTAGCTCGGTTTGCTGCATTCTTATCGCTTCTCACCTTTGTGAAACAATAAACTTAAATATAATTATTGTAATAAACCTAAATAATATACTTAGGTTTGATTCTTGATATAGCGGAAAAAAGATATCTGGCGCTAGGGGGAAATCAGACTACATATGCTTTGGCGAAATAGACTATTAAATCGTTCGGCATACTTGAAAACTTTCAGAAGAAAAATGTTCCTTTACTAACCACTCTCATTCTTTCTTGTCTACTCCCTTTGGAATATTCTTAAGAGCTTGTTGGATTGGCTTGTCCTTCACATATTTTGCATGCAAGTGTCCTCTCCATTTGTTCCATAACTCTTTTATCCATCCCAAGATATGATCACGATGATCATTCATGTCAACACTCTCAAACTTATCCTACAATAATCAAAATATTGGTTGAGTTAATGCATCACAAGAGTTCTCCTAAACCTTGTAAATCAGTAAAAGGGCAAGAATACAATCAAAAATGTATATCATAACCATCAACCTCATTGTCTATTTCTCTAGTTATTTTTGTTTGAGCACTGCAGGCTTTTTCGTTTTTACCACCTTTACTAGTGAACAATGCACCATGGAATAGAGAAATGATATAACAACTGATGTTTCTCCCCCACCCTCCCTCCAAACAATTACTATGTCTTAATGTCAAGTTAGTTGGGATCTGCTTGAATTTCTACTATCTATTTGGCTCATTTTGACTTCTTTCTATTATCAGTATTAGATTCAGGTATCTAGCAGCAGATATTTTCAGTTTTTCAAACTTCTGCTGTTGTATCGAGGGTCTCAAAAGTCTCTCAGATATATATATCAAGACTTGTTTGCCATATAATTACTTGCTCTTCAAGTCTAATGCTCTATATAGGTGGAGACTTATGCATACTTCATCTCTGTATTGATCAATCAATCAATCTATTACTTCTCTAATGAGATGCACATTATTTAAAAGAGAAACATATTTGCTCGCAAAGATCAGATGAGGTCACTTCTGCCCAGAATATTAGAGCAGATTTGCTAAACCAAATATGCGAACAAGGAGGTTTTTCTGGTCCTCTCAAGTGAAATTATATACAAAAGGTTTATCCGGTTTTAATTTTACAAAATTTAATAAGAAGTCCATACATCCCTTCTCTGTCAATACCTACAGCCAATACAAATCCGAAGGAGAAAGCAGACAATGTGTACGGATTCAATTAGCAAACTTCATAGCAATCTAGCCTTTGCCTATGACCTATCAAACCAAAAGGCAGATGCAAGAGACTGGAAAACAGAATCATCAACAGTTTTTTCACAATAAAGAACGAGCAACTTAGAAAGCGAGGTTGAAAAAGAAGAAAAGGAGCAACTCAGAAGAGGAGGCGTACCTGGATTCGCAAATAGAGGTTGAAAATTAGGGCAGACTTTCGATTCACAAATCAATTCGTAACCCTTGCTTTGAGAAAACAAAATTTCTGAGAGATTGATAGAGGAAGACAGAGCAGCAGCGTTCTTGTGTTTTGAGACTAGGGCAAGCTGCAGGTCGATGAGTTTGTTTTGGAAAAACAGTCTTTTAGTTTTTGGAATTTTTAATTTAGTAAATTAGTTTTGGCGCCTATTTTTTAGAAAATAATATTTTTTTAATAGTCTAGTATTATATTTGGCGGCATTCTCTCCCACTCATAACCCCTCAATTATAATTTGGGACCGGTTACTAGTTTCTTTAGGGACCAGATTTAGTACCTTCGCAATAAAATACAGAATTAAGGACCACAATAAAATATCATCGCAATACATACACTTTTAGAGACGGGATTATTAACTCGTCTCTAAATGTTGGTCGCAGATAAGCTTTTTTCTTGTAGTGTCTGATTCTTCTTCTCACACTCTTTTGTTTTTGCTGTGTCGTTACCCTTTTTAACGAAAGCATGTCATGATCACATCGATCTCGTAAAGGGGTTTTTGAGGCCTCCCCATTGTCCAAGGCGCCCCCTTCAGGTGGTGAGGATATGGCGGTAGAAGAAGGTGATAGTCTTCCTACGGTGGAGGAGTTATTGTCGAGACACCCCATGTCTCGAAGTGACTTTCTCAAAGATCCCCCTCCTACTCCTACTCCCGTACTTTTTGAGACGGAACAAGTTCACATCGATGCTCTTTGTGCAAAGTACGGCATTCCCGCTCATGTTGACATGGCTCCAGCGGGAAGGGATTTCGTAGAGGTCCACAAACCTGGGTACTACGCTTTCTACGAGTACCCTTTCGTGATTAGCTCTTCTTTTCCCCTCCTCCCATTCGCGAAGGAGTTCTGCAGGTTCTACCAAGTTTGCTCAGTACAACTTTCGCCATATACGCTCAAAATACTTCTGTTGTTGACCAAGTATGCAGAGTTGGCGGAATGCGATGTTTCTATCCATCACCTCTTGCACCTGTTCTCGCCTAGCTTCCATAGGGGTACTATGGTGCATTTGAGGCATCGTAGCACAAAAAGGCTGGTGGTTGGGACCGACGACTGAGCAAGTCGCAAGTTTTGGCATAAGTATTTCTTTGTCAAAACTAAGCACATTGTTTCTGACTCCGCTAGGTTCCCGTAGCGGTGGAACGAGACTCGTAAGTGCCGCCACTCATTCTGCTCTTCCTTCATCTATATTCATTATAGGGTTCGTTCATTTCTTGTTTGCAACTATGGGACGTTCGCCCCGCCCTATTGCCGGCATTAGGGATTGGATAGCCCATTTGTTGCCCCGTACAGCAGAAACCCGAGATTGGTCCGCCTTCATAAAACGTTATAGCCAGAGAGTTTCATCCGTTAAATGTTTCCCCCTTATCGCTTTGTTGGTTATATGTCGTCGTCTATTGATACGACTCTTTATGGCGACATGTCGAGGAGCTTCCAGGCAGAGGGCACCAGTCCCTCCATTCTGACAAGTCGTCGATGCCGCAGGAATGCAGTTTACTTTGAATGAGTCTATTCGAGGGGGTCATCCTCAACCGATTCAAGTAGAAGGTTCCTCTCGGGACATGGTCGTGAGGGAGGAGGCTTCTTCAGTACCGACCCTGCATCTTTTGGATGAATCTTCTAACGGGGGAGAGTCGTTGTCGAGAAAAATGAGGAGAATGGAGCTTGGGAAGGATGTGGCCATTGACGCTGGTAGAAGTAGGGCATCGCAGACGGCACATGTTCCCACCTTTATGGACAACGCCATTTTAGCGTGGAGATCTCCCCAAACGGAAGGAATTTACCCAGGGGTCGGCTCTGTGTGCTCCGCTGAGGGTGGCGCGTCATCCAACGTTGGAGGGGGGCATCGTGCCGAGGGCGAAGGCTCAGGTTCAGATGTCGACCCGGAGGAAGTTCGCGAGTTCGTAGGTCGCCATACTCACGTGGAGGTCAGAGTGGAAGGATCTGATCGTCACATAGTTATCCCGGGGGACTACAATTTGTTGTCGAATTGCGATCAAGTGGCGTATGTTTTAGCCCTTCTATATGCTTCCCCTGAGAGCGAGGTGCTTAGGGCGATGAGCGACATGGAGTTGTCTCGGAACGTCGCCGGCATGGCCTTGCAGGTAGGTGTCTTTCTTTTCCTTTTCATCGTTGGTCTTACATTGTGATTGTCGACCTGTGTTTTTGTCTTTAACTTCTCCTTTTCTTCTTTTTGTGTTAGACCTTTTTCATGGAGACTGAGCACGAGCGTCAGAAAAGTAAGAGGACGGCCGTTTACGGGAAGATGTCTTCCAAATATCAACAGTATCGCACTAAGCATCGTGCAATGGCCGATATTTATAATCAGGACCCTGACTTTCAGTTGTTCCGTAAAGGGCTCAAATAGAGGGAGGACCATCTGGCGCGTAAGGTCAAAGAGCTGAGGGAGCGAGATGAGGAGCTCATGAAGGATGTTGCCCGCAATAGTGAACTCGAGGCCTCCCTTAAGGTGAAGGAAGACGAGCTTGAGTTAAGAAAGGGGGTGATGGCCGAGAATGCCGACTTACAAGCAAAGGTGGCCAGTTTGACCACTGAATTGAGTACAAAAGCGGTAGAGATTGAGGGGTTTAAGGGCGAATTGAGCGTCGGTGCTGATAAGCTGGCGGCAGCTATTTCTGGAACAACGTCCTTGGAGAATGCCCTCCGTGTTTGTAGGTCGGAGCTGACCGAGGAGAAGGAGGCCTCTAAGCTTAAGGTCACAGGGCTTGAAGGGCGTGTTAAGGAGTTGGAGGCGGAGCTATCTGTGTTGAATGGACAAGTGGCCTCGCTGAGAGCGAAGGATGCAATTCGACGCTCACAACCTTCTACGTCTCGTGCCTCGGCCGATCCGGCCGTGCCTCATCGCTTATATGAGTTGTGGGTCCATGCTGAGGCCCGGCTTGACGTGTACAAGGTTCTTCATGCCAAGGGGAGGGCAACTGAGGCAGAGCTTTAGGTCGTGCATACCAAAGCTCGTGCAGCTCGGGAGGCGTGCAGGTACGACCCTCTTACTCCTAACAGGGATGACATCAACTCCGATGATGCGAATCGTCTTGCTTTTGACTCTTGGTACGAAGATGCATACCCAACCGGGAATGATGTGTAACTTTTTGTTTGTACTTCTTGTTTTGGGATTTTTGTAAGGGGCGTGCTTGAGCCCGTTGTAAAGATAGGCATAAGTAACATTTTGATGTAATGTAGAATTTTGTTTTGTCGATTAGGTGATGATCTTTGCAATATCTAGAGCATCCGGGGTGCATGTCAAACTTTTAAGCCGATTTAGCTTTTGGGTGAAGTCGATTCCTTTTTCTTTTGGCGATGGCTTTAGCCTCTAGGGTGTTATTTTCGAACGATCGTCGAAGTGGGATGTTGCTTCGAACTGTCGTCGAAGTAGGATTCCGTCGTAGTTCGAACGAGGTCGAACTCATTTTCGTCGATGGCCTTGGCCGTTGGGATGTTGCTTCAAACTTTCGTTGAAGTAGGATCCTGTCGTAGTTCGAACGAGGTCGAACTCATATTTTCGTCGGTGGCCTTGGCCATTGGGATGTTCACATTGGAGGTTTGATCATATTCCCGTAGGAAAATACATGTCGACTTTATTCATTCAAGGGAGATTTAATTATATTTTTGTAAGAATCACATGTCGACTCTGTACATACAATGGAGATTTGATTATCTATATCCAGTCCCTTTATTACTCGGTTTGGAGAACACGTCGACGGGCGGGGTAATGAACAATTCTTCGAACCTCGAGTTACCCCCCTTGCCGCCTCATTAAAAACCTCACTGAGAAAACACGATTGGGACAAAACCCGGATGAGGGAAAAAGAGTACGACTCAGGTGGCGCCTCCTTTCGGAAGTGGAAGTATTTGAGATGGGCGACATTCCAATTGTATTGGAGTAGTTTTCCCTCCATCGTCTCTAACTGGAACCCCACCTTTCCGAGCTCTAAAAGACAAGTTATAGGGGATATTCGAAAGAATATTCCTAGTGTCCCCTAATGAGCTTGCACTACTGCAAGGGTCGTACAGTCTCTTGTTCGCCTCAAAGTCACCCTCTGCAAGATATCGAGCTGCGAGGATCTCGTCGCTCGTCGTACTCATCAACGGTCGTGGTTGTTCAAATTTGGACTCATACAATATTTAATCACAACATAGTTCAATTACTCTAGTATCAAATATTTGAACTAATAATCAATCAGAATATTACTTTCATAAACTGAGTGTTAATAAAGTAAATCATTTAATAATCACCAATCCAAATAACCAAAAACAATTCCAATACCTTGTCAACAAAAACAAGAACAATTGAAGTACTGTTAATTATTTAAAACTACAATTTCGAAAAAAAATTCATAAATTTATGGTAACAAACAGGCAGAACTGTGCATCTTCCTCCCTTTAAATACTCCGAAAGACAAATAACAAAATTGTTCTCCCCGATATTTGTTTTTCCCTGTTGGCTTCCTTCATTAATAACCATAATCTCAACCTTTTCTCGATTCTGATGGTTGCTGCTGACCAGGATTAGGTCGGGATGAAACGGCGGCGGCGGAAAATGGCACACTGTTAGAAGTTGTACGGGATGAAGCGACGGCGACGGGGAATACCGTACTGTTAGAAGTTATACGGAATGAAACGGCGGCAGCGGAGAATAGCGCACGATCAGAAATTGGTAATAGGTCGTCGTCTGATGATTTGTTACAAAATTTACAAGTAAACCAAATTAGGAAAGGTGAAAGAAAACTAAGGACTTCAAAAGTGATTATACCAAACCAGAACCAATCCATGGTTCTAAGTTTTTGATACTTTGTTTAATTTTAACCTCCTGAAAACTAAAAGATCTCTATTATATAATGCCATAAATTTAAAGTTGTGAAAATCATCAAACTAAAATTGCTTCGGTCTGGGTTTTTGGGTACCGGGTTTTTGACATCCTAGTACTAGTAGCATTCGGATTTAGCTGATTCATCACAGCTTTCAGATTTTTTATATTAATCACTTATTGATTGTTTTCCTATTTGACAAAGAAGAAGGAAATGGAAAGATAATTAAAGTAGCTATGCAAAATTTTTGAAAGTAATCCTTAATGCAAAA